ATATGCACACGTAAAATTGGAAATTCGTCGAATTGCCGATTACTGCGGATGTGCGATGATTATTATTTATTGATAAATTCACTGTTCACTTGCGCAAAGTTGATAATTAATAAACATGTATGTTAATTATGTACACTGATAACACCGCGGGACTATTTCTCGTCTCGGCTTATTGAAAAATAGATTACATTGAATTTTTTTATATAGATAGAAAACATAGAGAGAGAGAGAGAGAGAGAGAGAGAGAGAGAGAGAAATAGAGAGAGATTAGTTCGTTTATTGCGCCAATGCGGTAGAACCCCGTCTGGCAGTTTAGAAAATGTACAAATCAAATAATAACAAAATTTTAAAATGACAAAAGAAAAGATGCAAGAATAAATAGTGACGCATTTAACTATTTAAAGAAGATAAATTAGGTGAAAATGCGTGAGTTGTATGTACGGTGAGCAGCGAATTTACAATGGCATTAACAGTAAGAAGACTAAGAATATATATGTAAAAATAAAAATAGAATAATATATGTAAAATATAGTAAAATAAAATATATAAAGAACAATATAATTGAAATAACAGATAAAACAACAAAAATAACAATAATAAAAGATGAAAAATAATACAAATAATGAAGACAATAAAAGTAATAAAAAGTAATACAAATAATAAGAACAATAAAAATAATAAAAGTAGTGAAAAATAATAAAAGTAATGAAAGCGCGATGGCACCTATTTTACAGAAAAAACGGTCTAAAAGAAGGAAAGGTATAAAAGTGGAGCGACGTGCGTTTGGCTAGAAAACAACCATATTTAATTAGCTATTTCATGAACCAAAGGTCGATAGAGGGGTATTTGTGGGACGATGGATAATTTTGGGAGACCGCGACTGGATTGACCTTGTTGGGTATGCGAGTGTAATCAGACAGTGCCGGCACTGGCATTAATTTTTCGTGAGTCGCCCTCTCAATCCATGCTCTAGCCTCATAATTTAAAAATAGATCACGTGTCCAATCCTTGAAGTCAGAGATCCAATCGGTGGAGAACAGGGTCACACTCAATGAGTTGAGTATTCTTTGAGCAAGGATCGCAAAAGAATGGTTCCAGGCCTCAGTTCGAGGGGCCTTGTATTCAAACGCCGATGGTGGATGGCGACCCGAGCGCCGGATATGACACTATCAAGCAGGACGAACAGGTTTTTAGCCAGATAGAGTGCGGCGATTTTCTGGACACAACAGAGTAGGCCAGAACGGCGAGGGTTCTATACCTATTTGGGGTAAGGGATAGCCAGCCCAGGGCTGATCTATGGTGGGTGATGTGGCTGTTTAGGGATAGAGTAGGTAAAAAAGGGATCCATCCTATTACGAAGCGTACACAGGCGTTTTGGGCAACTTGAAGCTTAGATGAGCGCTCTCCATCAAGCTAAATACAGACCACTAAGAGGTAATCGAAATGTGGGAAAATGAGCTGCTCGACAAGAACTTTTCTGAGGGTAGTCGAGAGAGATTTCCTATGGAAACATAGTGAAGCCAGAGAGCCGTATGCCTTCCTCGTCACGCTTCTCACATGTTCGGATCAATTTAACAGGGCAATCCCAAATCGAGACAGCCGTAATGAGAAAGGTTTAGCGTGCTTGGCGCGTCGCACTAGCCTGGCCAAGCTTTCTCTTTACGGCTGTCTCGATTTGGGATGTCGGTCTTTCGATATTCGGAAAAGGCTAGAGCCAAGTACTTGATGTTCCCCGTGAGAAAATACAACCTAAAGGTATAACTCCAGTACTCAATGGCCGGGGACATTCATTCAAATGAATGTGATTGGTGGCTCAAAGATGCGAGGAACCCTCATGCCGACATCCGGGAATGGCACGTCTAATGGCGTTCGACAAACTCACTACTCGGCATGGCTGTTAGGACATTTATTCGGCATTCATTTTTACAGTATAAGCCCGAGAGTGAACAGATAGAAAGGAGAGAAGCAGAGCAGCGAGATTGCGCTTAATGTCGTAACAGCCATGCTGAGTAGTGAGCTTGCTGAACGCCATTAGAACTGCTATTCCCGGATGTGGGTATGCGCGGTGCTCTCCAGATCGACATCTGGGAATGGCAGTTCTAATGGCGTTCGGCAAGCTCACTACTCGGCATGGCTGTTAGGACATTTATTCGGCATTCATTCTTACAGTTGGAAATGACTATGCGACTTTAAATTTACATGCGACTCGAGCTACGCGAGTGAGCGTAGAGAGGTATAATGACTTACCAGTCCTTATATTTGTGCATTTTGCTTATTTTTACAGTTCTTCCCCATCTGTTCGACCCCCAGCCACGCGATGAGAATCCTCGGTAACCGGATGTTTGGTAAAATTATTAAGCAACATTTATGTGTATGTCTTATAATTATAAACAACATTAATCTCAATCTATCTCTCAGATAGAATCTCTCCGATGGTAGTGGTCGGAGGTTCATGGAGGACTATAGGCCGATATAACATTCCCCCCAAGCCGCTAACAAAGATCTCCCGAGTATCATTTCCAAGGACGGGACAAAGTTCAAAGTCGACTACTTTCGGCGGCCGGACTAATCGGAGCCACCCGTTGGTCGCTGCTCGACTTTGCGACACACTCTTGTTTACCGCAGAAGGCAGAGATGTCGTGCCACATGGGTCTATAGTGAATGATTTCACGTTGAGACTTCTTGCTCAGCAATACCAGCGCCCGATATTTGAAACGGACGAGTATTCTCGGCTCCGTAGTGCGCCGAAGCATGTAGCCATGTGCAACTTCGTCACATCATTGATGGGAGCCTCGTATTCCCGCCTTAGACCGTATATTCTATCATCTGTATTTGGCTTGATTTATGTCTGCTACATAAGGTAAGTGCAGAATTGGAATAAATGTTTTAAATATCTGCAATAGTTATACACTAATTCCAAATCCTTCATTCCCATTTATCGGAATGATATTTACTCTTTTTCTTTGTATACCGTTTTCTAAAAATGAGGGTTATATGATAAAGTAATCAAACCCAATATTTGAAACACGATTACACTTGGTCTGAATGTTGAATTCATCAACCTCGGTATGATAATACACATGTTTGTTCGTATATTATATATTGTTAATGAGGCTTTCAGATAGAGTACGTTGAACAAAAAACAAATACTTTTCTATTTTCACGCATCTCACCTGCACTCGTATTGTTACAGGGCAGTGGAAAATAAGGAACTGGCTGAGGCTAACAAGTCAGGTGCTATCCAGTCCTCAAGGGAGGAGCTAAAAAAATGCAAGAGATACCTGAGAGGATTCAAAACCCTGAATAAGGAAGGATTGATGAGTCGGAACTACTGTTACGAGGTGATGGACAGTATTCCGATCCCGGGCAATTGGACTGTTCAGGAGAAAATAATATTGTTTAAGGTCGCATCGACCACAGCTAAACGAGAAATTCATTGCTTGACTAGTCAAGACCTGTGGCGTCTTCAAAACATCCCGCGGGAGGAGCTTATATATATATAATTATTATATAATATACTTTTACTTCAGTCTGTTCGAGTAGGTCCAAATATTTATATTCCTTATATTGGGAAAGAAATTAGTATAGCCCGAAAGTGAACAGATAGAAAGGAGAAGCAGAGCAGCGAGATTGCGCTTAATGTCGTAATAGCCATGCCGAGTAGTGAGCTTGCCGAACGCCATTAGAACTGCCATTCCCAGATGTGGGTATGCGTGGTGCTCTTCAGACCGACATCCGGGAATGGAAGTTGTAATGGCGTTCGGCAAGCTCACTACTCGGCATGGCTGTTAGGACATTTATTCAGCATTCATTTTTACAGTATAAGTCCGAGAGTGAACAGATAGAAAGGAGAGAAGCAGAGCAGCGAAATTGCGCTTAATGTCGTAACAGCCATGCCGAGTAGTGAGCTTGCCGAACGCCATTAGAACTGCCATTCCCAGATGTCGGTCTAGAGAGCACCGCTAATACCCACATCTGGGAATAGCAGTTCTAATGGCGTTCGGCAAGCTCACTACTCGGCATGACTGTTACGACATTAAGCGCAATCTCGCTGCTCTGTTTCTCTCCTTTCTATCAGCTTGCCGAACGCCATTAGAAAAAATAATAATAAATTTCGTATTTTACAGCTGACACGTCAAGTCATTAAAGTCACTGAGACTATCAACGATTTTCTATCAAGGAAAATCCAAGATGACCACTTGTTATTAGTATTTTACCAGTCCATGGAGACGTTCATGCGAACTGCGTTATTCACCTTGACCCACGAAAAGGCGGAGAAGCTATTATGCAGACTAGTTGATATGAAGTTAGCTATATATATTGAACTTATTTTGAAGAAAGTAGATGAGGACCATCTAGAAGAAACGGTCACGACAGAAATTGTGGAATTTCTGTTGAAGCAAAAAGGCTCTTGCTTCTCTACAACTTTAAAAAATTTACTTCCAATGGCTCACAAACCGACAATCTATGCCCAAGAGGGTATACGATTTAAATGTGTTCAATCTTCCAAAACACCACTACAGATGATGCCAAAAACCTGTAGTACTACGAAATTGTCGTCAATAGTCACAAAAAGATTTCATGAAATTTAAAAAAATAGAAAGTGGGCAGTAGCTATATTTATAAACATCAACAATAGATCTAAAAGAAACAGCTGGACTTCCGGTTGAGCGACGAGCACAAACGCACGTGGCGAAAAAAACGCGAGTGACTTTTATTAAACAATTAAAGTTAAACATTAATAGAAATAGTGAAAACGAGCAAATAGTAAAACTAAAAGAAAACCCTATTGAACAAAATAGAAAGATAGTCTGAATATTCAAGAATACAAAAGTAATAAGTGTGATTACGACGAACGAAAACATTTGAGGTTAGGTCGGACAAAACAAAACATGAAATACACTCGGAACAGATAGGTAATGAGCAGTGATTCCGACAAAAGAACAATAATCACGAGAAACAAGGGCTTGATAAATAATAGAACAATCGATAGCTTTATAATGCCTCCGAAAACAGACGCAGATCTAGAAAAGAAAATGCTCAATGCGATCAAAGAACTCGGAACAAAGTTTGATGAAAAAATGACACGAATGGAAGAGAACATACAACAGAAGTTTGAAAAACATGTAAAAAATATTAAAGATGAGTTAGAAAGACAGTGGAAAGCAAAAGAAGAAGAGTGTGAGCAAGAAAGGCAGAACTGGAAAAACGAGAGAGAAAACTTGCTAGACAGAGTGATGAAACTTGAGTGGGACAGGGAAAAGGGTGAGAGAGAAAAAAGAAAACTAAATATTGTTATAAAGGGAGAAGAGTTTACAGAAGAAAACATAAAAGAAAAAGTCGAGGAATATTTAAAGGACAGTATTAACACAGATGTAAAAGTGGAAAAAACATTTACAATAAATAACAACAATAGGGAAAAGAGATACAAAATGACTATAGCCAAGCTAGAAAACTGGCAGATGAAAAAGCAAGTTATGATGAACAAAGCTAACCTCAAAAGAGGAATTTATATTGATGATGACTTGAAGAGAAAGAGAGAGAAATACAGCGACATTTGAGAACAACCGCGAAACAGGAAAGAAATAAAGGTAATACTGTCAAGGTAGGTTATTTGAAAATGAAAATAAACGAGAAATGGTTCAAGTGGGATGAATGGAGCGAGACACTAAAAGCAATAGAAACGAAGGAACGAGAATAGGACTCGGAGGTAGGACTGGAGCAAGACGAAGCAAGACTCAAGATATGTTACTGGAATATAGCAGGGATAACAAATAAAGATAATGAAACGTGGAAATATTTAAGCAATTTTGACATAGTGTGTTTAGTAGAAACCTGGATAGAAGAGAAAACATGGGAAAAAATTAAAAGAAGACTTCCTACAAATTTTGAATGGAAATGTAATTATGCCACAAGAAAAAAGAAGAAAGGGAGGGCGATGGGGGGAATCGTATCTGGAGTGAGAAGTGAAATAAAAGAAATGGTGTATAGTGAGTGGAGCAGTAACGTAGTCATGAGACATGTGAGTCATGACAACAAAAAGTATAAGATAGTAACAGTATACAGTCAAAACGTTAAAGAAACAATAAAAGTGATCAAAGAAAATTATGAAGAAAAAGAAGATTTTTTAATTGTACTAGGAGACTGGAACGCAAGAACAGGTGAAGAAGGAGGAATAATAGAATGTGAAACTGAAAGCAACATTAAACGAAAAACAAAAGACTCAGTGACAAACGTAGAAGGAAGGAGATTAATAAGCGAAATAGAAAAAGAAGGATGGTTAATTTTAAATGGGAACTTTGGAGATAACGGAGAGTATACGTATGTTGGAAAAAATGGAGCATCAGTCATCGACTATATAATAAGTAACCAAAGGACGATAGGTGAAATTAAGCACATAAACGTAGGTGATAGGACAGACTCGGATCACTTACCAATGGAGATACAGATAAACGCTGAAAATATGAATAAAAAAATACAAGATAAAGAGGCAGAAGAATACTATCACAGAAGAAATTGGACAGAGGAAGGGATAGAAATTTATCATGAGAAATGTGAAGATTGGGAATGCAAAGAGGAAAATATTGAAGAAATATAGAAAGAATTGAAAAACAAAATCACAGAAGCAGTCCCTACTGTAAGTAGAAAAAAGAAGATATGGGAACTCGGAGAAAAAAAGTGGCACGACAACGAATGGAAATCAAGAAAAAGAAAATTAAGACAAATAATAAGAAAATGGAAAAAAGGACAATGCACTAGAAATGAATACATAAAGGCTAAAAAAGTGTACAGAGAATGGTATCAAGAAAGATGCGAACAACATGATAGAGAGCAGGAAGAAAAAATAAAAAATATCAAAACAGAAAATGAATCATGGAAATTTATAAATAAATTTAGGAAGAAAAGAGAAAAGATTGACGAAAATATTGAAATAGATAAGTGGAAGAAACACTTCATGGAAAAACTAGAAGGTGTAGAAAAAAAAACAAAGGTTGAATGCGGAGAAAAGGAAAGTGAGGGGGATGAAGGAAATAGTGACGACAGAATAACAGAACGAGTATTAATAACGCGAATCAAAAAATTAAAAAATAAAAAAGCACCAGGTGAGGATACACTACAAAACGAAATATGGAAGAACATGCCACAATCTATAGGAGTCGTCTTATTAAAAATGATAAATAAGGTATGGAAAGATGGAGATATACCAGAAGAGTGGAGAAAAGGTGTTATTAGCCCAATACACAAAAAAGAAGATCCAAGAAACGTTAAAAACTACAGAGGAGTCACATTAACGAGCACAGCGTATAAAATATATGCAAGCATACTAAACGAGCGACTGATAAACGAAGTAGAGTGTAAGTTAGAAAAAGGGCAATTCGGATTTAGAAGAGGAAGAGGGGTCATGGATGCCGTATATGTACTCAACCACATAATAGACCAAAGATTAGGACAAAACAAAATGAAAGTGATTGGATGTTTCGCAGATTTGAAAGAAGTTTTTGACAGAGTAGACAGGAAAATACTAACAGAATGTTTAAAAGAAAAAGCAGTAAGTGTAAAACTAAGAAACAGGATCATAGAAATATTTGAAGAAACAAACAATGTAGTGAAAGTAGGAAACAAAATATCCACAGAATTCTGGACAACCAGAGGAGTGAAACAAGGGTGCCCTGTAAGTTCCACGCTATTTAATATATATTTGTCAGATTTAGAAGAATATATGAAAAAAGGGATAAGAGGAGGTGTAGTAATCGGAAAAATAAAAATTTGGACGCTAAAATATGCAGATGATATTGTATTACTGGCAAAAAATCAAGAAGACATGGAGTATATGTTGAAAAGATTTAAAAAATATTTAGAAATTAAAAAAATGCTACTAAGCTCAGAAAAAACCAAAATTTTAGTATTTGAAGAAGGAAATAAAAAGAAAGATAGGAAATGGTACTGGGGCGACAAAGAATTAGAAGAAGTTAAAGAAATAAAATATTTAGGATACATTCTACAAAAAAATAGAGGTTTTGAAAAACATTTAACGGATAGAAAAAGAAAAGCAATAATAGCAATGAAAAGCACATGGAGTATCGGAGAAAGAATTTTTAAAGAAAACTGCACCAGAAGAGTGAAGATGTTTAAAGCACTGGTAGAAAGCATAGCACTATTTGGAGCAGAAATATGGGGATGGAAAAGAGATGAAAGGATGGACAGCATAACACGAAAATACTTTAAATGGATTTTAGGACTGGATGTGACGACACCAAATTACATAGTAATAGAAGAAAGCAAATTAGAAAGTATGATGATAAAAGCTGTAGAAAGAGCAGTGCAATACGAAGAAAATATCAGATCATCAAACAAAATACTAGTAATAGAATGTCTAAAAGAAAGAGAGAGATAAGGCGGAATAGGACAGCAAGGAAAATGGGCTAAGTTGCGGCTAAACATGCTGAATGAAGTAGATCTGACAAAAAAAAAATGGACGAAATGAGAACAAGAAACGAAGATATTAAGAAAAAATAATCACTAAGTTGGAAAATAAGGATACTTCAAAACGACTACAGAAAATTGAAGACTCATCGTACAATAAATTTTATAAAGATATAAGAGAAGAAAACAAACCAAAGTATTTAGAGTCAAGAATGAAAGTAAAAGATAAAAAACTACTGGCTAGGTTTAGATGTGGCAACGAGCTCAAAGCAAAAGACTACTGGAAGGAAGAAGAAGAAAAATTATGCAGAAGCTGTAAAAAAGAAATAGAAAGTATTGAACACGTGATTGGAGAATGTAAAGAAATAAAAATAGAAGAAGAATGGCAGATGGTCTTAAGAACAGAAGGACAAGGCATAGATATACTAAAAAAATACAGAGAAGGAGAATAGAAACAGACAGCGTGGAAAGTGAAAAGAAAGTGTGTGAAACCTAAGTGTGAAACTAATATAAACAGTTGAAAACCTTAAGAACTTTAATGATGAATATATGTAACTTATTTAACTTTTGTAACTTATTTACTTATTTATTATTGTTATTAGTATTATTATTATTAGTATTGTTATTATGGTTATTATTATTATTATTATTATTATACTCCCAATTTAGTAAAAACTATGTAAATGGATTGTACTGGAAGTCGTCCAAAACCGAAAGGTATGGACTAATAAAATACAATAAAAGAAACAGCTGCTCATATACCAAATTGATAGAAATATTGAATGCACAGCATAAAGTGCAGAACAGCTTTAAAGCTAGTATGGAAAATGTGCAGTTAAACGTGAAAAGTCAATTGCTTAATTTTAACAGCAACCAGGTGTTACTTTTAAGACTCATTAGTCAATATCCTGAGTTTGATTGGAATGAGGTATAGTAATTTATATTCATATTCATGATTTTGAAGATTTGTTAATAATTTACATATTCTATTTTTACAGATATATGCTGAGTACAAAAAGTACGACCATAGCATCTTATCTCTTGTTTTTCTAAAAGAGGCAGCAAGATCATGTGGCATTTGCACAATTTCCGGAACAAGCCCAATGATACATTTCAAAATGAGGCCGACTGCTACTGTCCTCAGAAACATGATGTTACGTCGCAACACGATACATATGTATTAACGCATACGTATATTACTCAAACATGTATATTCAAATTAAGTTAAGCTGCGCGCGCAGCTAAAGCGTGTCTGTGTGTGTGAGACTGTATGAGGTGCTAGGGTCTTAAGCTTAGCGTGGTGGCAGCACCTTACGGCGCTGCGCCACTCGCGCCAAGCATGGCGGTTTTTGCCGGTGTAACCGGCAGTCGTCGACGACATCGTCCCGCGTGCGGAGCTCCCTCGCGCCTTTTACGTTCTCGGACAACGTTCTCGTGCACCCACGTGCAACATCACTTGTATTACCCACGTAATACAAGGTTCTCGTCCACTCACGTGGTCTGTTCTATCGTTTCAGTGTAATTCGGATGCGTGAAAGTGATTGTAAATTCATCGTATAGCAATCTCCTTTGTGTGCGGAGCGTGTGAGTGCGTGCATGGTAACGACCATTGTTCTCCGCGCGACGTCTCTATCCCGCGTTATCTTCATGTTGTAATTTCTAGTTTCATTTAATAAAAGGGTTTTTTATGCCGTTACGGCTTTTTCCCTCAAACAGTGTTAAGTGATTTCCCTCTCATTTTAATAATTTAAATCTAACTACCACAATTAAATCAGCAATCAAGAACGAAGGAGAAATTCGAAATAGAGCGATTTACTTCGCCAAGGAAGTCGTTCAGAACTTTTCATGGTGCCTCCTGTGAGGTAGTTTTCTACCTCTATCTCTCCTTTTTCATTCTCGGAAAAGGGGACGTCGCGCGAGTGCAAGTGTGTGAGAGTGTGTGGGGAGGGAAAGGTGTGCATATCAAAACGCGCGAAAACGCGCGCAACGTGCACCGACAAGTGCAGCCGGCCAATTTATCTTCTCTCTCGCTCGCTCTCCCGCCGTTTATTCGCGCCTCGTGCAATTGCTTACACTCAGCGTGCGCAACAGCGTGCGCAAACACTCAGCGTGCGCCACAGCGTGCGCAGTCATCCAGCGTGCGCAACAACGTGCGCAGTCGTCAGTGCCGATCAGCATTGCCATCGCTTCCGACCAGGGGGACTTACACGCAGCGGCCACCGACATCGTTTTCCATCAACTAAGATAAGTGTTCTTCTTCCTTTTCTCGCTTTCTCTGCTTCAATAAATAAACATACGCTTGCGAACAAACGGTTTCGCTTTCCACTTATAACGATTAATTCCATTTGTATTGAGTTAATTCTAGCGTTTTGATTTTTTGTTGTCTGCTTCTTGTCAAATTAAGTGAATCAATCAAACTAAAATACGATTGCGCATTGATTAGTACTCGAGTCATTGTTAGCATTTCATGTTTATTCGAATTTAGCAAGCAATTTACAATCCACTAGTGATTAATTGCCATTAGATAAATTTGTAGACAATTGTTTGACATTGTTTAATTATTCAATTAGAATTTCGTTGTCCGTTTCAATCATATGTTTTTTCTCTCTCCTTCTTTGAAACTTCAATTAACGTCAATTTCAATTTGATTCATAACGCGTTATTTTGATCCAACAAATACCCAAAATGAATAACGACGAGGTTATTCCAGCCAGCGGCAACGCAGAAAAACGCTTAATTTATATCGAACAGAAATTTAATAGGTTTACAAAAACGTTGAAATCCCTCAAAGAATACTTAGCAAAGGGATCGCCAGATGCGACGAACGCGGAGTTACGAATAAATTCCCTTTCGACCATATATCAAGGTTATTCAGCGAATCGCGAAGAACTTCTTTCGATGCAACCTGCACATTGAGCATCCCCACATTGCCGCATTCGACGAACTCGAATCCGAATATTTCGAAGTAGCGAGTCGAATATTGAAAATGAACAAACCCAACCCCCAGCGATCCCTCTCGCGAATTCCACTATGCTCAACGGAAATAACACCGCTACCTTCATCGAGAGAACTGACGTGGTAAAACTCGCACCGTTGACAGTGCCCAAATTCGACGGGAACCACAAGAACTGGGTCCCTTGGAAAGCCAACTTCCAAGCGCTTATACACGATCGTCCAGGAATGGCGGGAAGCGTCAAACTATCCCAACTTCAAAATGCAGTTCACGGTTTAGCAGCGACCGTAATAAAGGAATTCTGTCTTGATCCCAGCGACGTTTTTTTTTATTTTTTATTAGTTTTATTATTATTATTAGTTTTATTTTTCGATCTTACTATAGAAGGATACTCCCTCAATCTAAATTGAAAGAAAAGTTTTGGGAATTCATTTAGAAACTAAAATCTTCTCATAATTGAATCTAAAATTGAAGTAATAAACAATTCAAATACTTCAACAGGAACCTAGAATGGCTAGCGCAAGTGAAGATCTATTTCCAGTCAAAAAGAGGAAAATTGATGATTCTAAATGTTTCCAGTGTAAAAAATATTTACGCCATGTCCCTGGATCACATAAAGAAATTAAGACTCGGACAGAATATTTAGAAATGTACACTAATTATAATATTTATCTTTAACTTGGTGATTTTATTTGTTTCAAATATACGCATACTGTTTTATATGCAAATTGCTACAAGACTTTCAAGAAGTTCCTTTTGATGCGCGCATAGAATTATTTGTAAAAAGGCAAATTTTCATCCCTAGACGATATAGATGTAAGAAACATTTGATAAAAAACAGATTTTATGAAGAAGATTTGGCTGCAATAAATATAGTTGTATATGAATCATTGGTAGAAACATCAGAATTGGGAAAATTCTTGAGTAGTTTGTTGGATTTAGCAGATGCTCGGCTACAGAATAAATTCGACAAATTTTTGTTGTCTGAAATCTGAAGAGAGTAAAAACTTTAACAGGTTTTACGATGACAAATCTACTTGAATTAAGATAACCGATGACTTCCATGCGTGATTTCGAAAACCGAAGTATTTTATAAGTTTTAGTTATATTTTTACTCAAACTGAGAACAGGAAATTCAGATCGATATGTTGGAGCTATATTAGATGTACCTAAAAATCAAGTTAAAAAAAATAATGATGCATATTAAAGTGTTTCAAAAAAGATATTTTGCCGAAATACTTTGGATATAAAGCATACTCTATAGAATTTTATATTAGTCAAACATCTTCAGTGTCAAATACACTACACCATCTAGAAGGTCGGTTGTCTTTAATATGCCACGGTAGTTACTTGCGTCATCAAAAAAGTTCTAACAACGCGTACCAAAGAAAGTCATATTCTGTACAAAAGAAAACATCACTAGTTAAACTTTTTACGATTTGTACTACCAATGGATACGTAGTTGATATTCCTGGACTATTTAACGCCAATAAAAATGATGCGACAATATTGAAAGAATTATTACAATTATCTGAAGGACTTTAGTAGTATACTTAGTGAAGGAGATGCTTTTTTTTGTAGACAGAGATTTCCGAGATGTTGTTTCTTTATGAAAAGAACGAAAATTCAAAGTTTTTATGCAAGCTTTAAAAGGCCAGAAAAAGCAGTTGTCTGACGAAGAGTCCAACGCACCTCGTTTAGTGACAAAATTAAGATGAGTCGTTGAAGCGGTTTATGGGAACATTGCTCAGAGATACAAGCTTCTTCACAATCAACTACATAATTCTTTTCTGCACAATACTCGTTTGTATTGACAAATTGCATGCTTTTTACAAAATCGCTTTGGAAAGCGTCTAAATACAGATACGGAGTTGATAGGGCCAGTTATTGAAAGGAGTAATGTCACAAAAGGATTAAGCAATAGTCTTGGTTGTTTCATAGAAGAACAAAATTGAAACGGAAAAGCTATACCATTCCTTTATCTTCTGCTAGCTACGGCTTAGCTTGGGAAGCGTTGTGCAACGCTTACGATCAACGACGTGTTCTAGTCAACGAGCACTTCGACGCTCTGCTAAAGTTAGCTCCCGTTCAAAATCCAACCGCCGAAACCACAGCCACCCTTATGTACACCGTCCGTCAGCACGTCAGCATGCTCAAAACAATGAACATTGCGATCTGCGACGAGTTTGTCCTGCGAATTCTCGAGAGATGCCTGCCCGGGTATCTCCTGTCGCGATGGATGGATAAACACTCAAATCGCGAAATCCCCAAATTGGAAGAATTGTACATCTTCGTTCAGGATTCAATATTTAAACAACGAGCGATAGGTGAACTTCCGAAACGAGATTACCAGTCCAAAAGAAAGGGGGCAGGTAGCAAAGCAGAACCCCCGGCAAAGGTCTCCAAAAACATTGCCAACACACTCGTTACTACCTCGACGACCAGCAACAACGCGTGCGTCCAATGCGGTCAATCCCACAGACTCTACAAATGCGAAAAGTTCAATAAGGCGTAATTGAACGAAAGGTGGGAACTCGTCAAAGCAAAAGGGTTATGTCGCAATTGCTTATACGTCCACTCCGCTTCCTGTACCAGCGAAAAAAGGTGCAAAAAATGTCATAAGGATCATCATACCCTTCTGCACGCAGATAAAAAATCAAGTCCATCTACACCTCAACCCGCGAACGATTCAAAACCGTCCGGGACGTCTCAACCATGACTAAGCCAACAAACATTCGCGTCAAGCGCATACCTTCCCGATTCTCAACTTATGACTACAGCAGTTTTAAGCTTTCAGTCAAGCCGAGGAAAACGTCTCATGGCACGCTCATTACTAGATTCATGTTCTAATGCAAACTTAATGACTCAATCTCTTATCAATCGTTTACAATTACCAGTTAAACAATGCTTTGTGAATATCGGAGCAATAGACAATGCGAATATTGTCTCAGAAAAATACACTACTGCCACTTTCTATTCTACATATAATAATTCTAAACATCAATTAAACTTTTTGATTGTACCTAAAATAGCTGAGAAGGTGCCTAATGAGACTTTCCCTCGGGAGAAATTCAACATCCCCAAGAATATCAAATTAGCAGATCCCCAATTTCATATACCCAGACCGGTCGATGTCTTGCTAGCGTCAGGTCCAACCCTGTCTTCTCTTGCCATAGGGCAAATCAAGCTGAATGACGAAAGATCCCAAATCACTCTTCAAAAAACTTCTTTCGGCTGGATAGCAGCCGGAGGATCAATCTTATCAACGATTCCCAACTCCGTTTCGTGCAATGCGGTGAGGTTAGATTCACTCCTAGAAAGATTCATGGCGATGGAAGACGTGGATTATCAACCCATCAAGTCAGAAGAGGACGTAGCATGCGAAAGGTACTACGCTCAAACCACGACACGCGACTTCGGGTCGCTATATCGTTCGTCTACCGTTTCGATCAGGCAAATTCGAACTAGGTTTGTCAAAACACCAAGCGTTACAGCGTTTTCAGACGTTGCAGCGCAAATTTGATGCTAACTCCAGGTTCCGAGCAGAGTACGAAAAGGAATTCAACGGGTATCTGGAACTTGGCCACATGACGCTGTGCGAGGACGACAACAACGATGGTTACTACTTGCCTCACCACGCGGTGATCAAGGAGTCCAGCGAAACGACGAAATGTCGTGTCGTTTTCGACGCTTCTGCAAAATCCTCCACGGGCATTTCGTTGAACGATATGCTGTTGACTGGACCGACCATTCAGGAAACTCTGTGGAAGCAAGTTTTGCGATTCCGTTCTCATCCCTTCGTCATTACTGCCGACATCGAAAAGATGTACCGACAAATCTGGATTCATCCCGACGATAGGAAGTTCCAGAAGATCTTGTGGTACCACGAAGGCGAAGTTCGAACTTTCGTTCTCAACGTTGTAACTTTCGGGGTGAAGTGTGCTCCTTTTCTCGCAATTCGAACATTGCATCAGTTAGCCGTTGATGAAGAGAGCAGATTCCCAAGGGCGGCAATGCTACTTCGTCGAGACTTCTACGTTGACGATTTCCTTTCAGGTGCAGACACGCTGGAGGACATCATGAGGATTCGCGACGAGATGATCAAACTTTTAAGTCGTGGGGGGTTCGTGATACGAAAATGGTCCTCGAACCATCCGTCGGCTTTAGACAACATCGATAAAAACATCTTCGATTTAGATTGCGGCATACAAGGGAACCCCATAAAGAAGACTCTCGGAATCATCTGGGACTCACAACGAGAAAACTCCTTTCCCAGATTGCGAGGATCTTCGATCTTTTAGGCTTATTAGGTCCTTTAACCCTGTATGCCAAAACATTAATTCAGGAATGTTGGAAAGCTAACGTTACCTGGGACGAATCTCTACCTCAAGACATCCACACCAAGTGGATCGCTTTAGCTGAACAACTTCCTTTAGTGCGAGAAGTCGCGTTACCAAGGTATCTGCGATATGACGTTGCGAACCCAGTATCCACCGAGATACACGGTTTTTGCGACGCGTCGATAAAGGGATACGGCGCGTGCATCTACATTCGTTCCGTTGACTCTGCGGGAAATGTCACTGTTAGGTTAGCCTGCAGTAAATCCAAGGTTGCTTCGCTTAGCCATCACACCATACCTCGTTTGGAACTCTCTGGCGCTGCCCTTCTGAAGGGACTATATGTCGAACTGGTGACCCAGCTGACTTTCAATATCGTGCGAACAATTCTTAGAACAGACTCAAAAATCGTTCTCTGCTGGTTAGACAAAGCTCCTCATCTACTTAGAACCTACGAAGCGAACCGAGTCGCTGATATTCAAACGCTGGGTGAGAAGGTCGAGTGGAAACATGTTCGTTCGAAAGACAATCCGGCTGATTCACTATCCCGAGGACAACTACCCAGGGAACTTTTAACTGAACCCCTCTGGCATTCGGGCCCTCCATGGTTAGCTCTTCCTGAAGATCAATGGCCTTCATCGGAAGAATCCTCGTTAGGTGATCCTCCAGGCGCGACAGAGGGAATTGTTTTATTCACAGCCTCTTCTGGAAGTAACGTCTACTCTCGTTTCTCTGATTACGGATGCCTTATTAGGTCCATCGGATATCTTCTCCGTTGGAGTAGAAGGGAATCACTACTAGACGATACCCAAGATGCGAATAAATCGCAACGAGGGATTCGTTACCTCTCCCAAGCCGAAATAGTTTACGCAGAACGCCAAATCCTTCTTCTCATCCAAAGAGAATGTTTTAGTTTTGAGATAAGATTGCTCAAGTCGACTACGAAATTAATTTCCAAAGGCCCCAACGGCGCTTTCAGGAGTCGAACGAAGTTCGATGAACTCAATCCTTTCTTAGACGAGCATGGACTGATCAGAGTAGACGGTCGGTTGAAGAATTCAAATCTTCAATTCAATCAAAAATACCCTATTTTGCTACCCAGCAACCATCACGTGTCAGATCTCATCATCCGCGACGCTCATCATCGAAATCTTCACGGAGGGGTCCAATCCACTCTTTACAGGATACGCGAAAGGTTTTGGATTCTCAACGGTCGAAACCAGATTCAACATGTCTTGCGCCGCTGCGTACCCTGTCTTCGGCAAAGGCCAAAATTCTCACACGCCAAGATGGCAGACCTTCCAGAATCTCGAGTAAACCCTGCGTTCACTTCCGCGAAGACCGGCGTAGATTTTTTTGGTCCGATTATGATCAAAGAAAAAAAGGATCGAAATCGAAGTTTCCTTAAGGCGTATGGGTCCGTTTTCGTTTGTATGGCCACTAAGGCTGTCCACATCGAGATAGCATCCGATCTCTCAGCTGAGGGCTTCCTCGCGTGCTTTCGTCGGTTCGTTGCCACGCACGGCAAACCGACCACCATGTACTCTGACAATGGTACTAACTTTGTGGGCGCAAATAGCGAACTGCAAAGGATTTACCAATTACACAATTCACCCGAATTTAAGGACGCGATTCAATCTTTTGCTGCAGCCGAACGGATTGAGTGGAACTTTAATCCACCTCTCTCACCGTACTTCGGCGGTTTATGGGAGGCGGCAGTTAAAAGCTTCAAACACCATCTGAATCGTGTCGTCAAGGACCAAAAGCTCACGTACGAGCAATTGGAAACATTGTTAAAGGAAATCGCCGCCGTGTTAAACTCTCGACCATTGTACGCGATTTCTGCTGATCCAAACGATTCCCTTGCGATAACTCCTGCTCATTTTTTGATCGGGCGTTCCTTCAATTTCTTACCCGACCAAAATTATGTTTCAGTTCCGGACAATCGCCTCACTTCCTACCAGCTCGTCTCTAAAGCTAGACAAGCCTTCTGGAGTAAATGGCAGAAGGAGTACTTGCATGAACTGCAAACTCGTCAGAAGTGGTTGAATTCCGGAACCGTATTATCACCTGGATCTGTGGTTGTGTCGATGGAGGACAACCCTGCTTGCGCAAGATGGCCGCTGGGTGTCGTCGTGGAGATCCACCCTGGGAGCGATGGCATTGCTCGAGTAGCATCGGTGAAGATGGCTTCCGGAATCTACAAACGGAACATTACTCGGCTCTATGTGCTCCCTGTAGATCAGGAAAACGCGGACCCGTTGGAGTCTCAAGTCACCCTCCCGAACTCGTGATTAGCCCCAGATGTGTGCTCTTTGGTTTGCCATGAACGAGTCGAACCATGGAGTATTCTGGAAGTGCTTGAAGCCTGGCCCGCGAAAGGTAGAGTACAGAGTGCTCTACAGCCAGATGCCCAAAGAATCAATCTTTGGAGCGCGATACCTGTCCGGAGATCAGGTTCCCACAATCGCGGAGACTCCAACCTTTCGTCGACGTTAATTTAGGACAAGCGTGATCAGTGAAGTGTCAAACTTATGGCACCGGATGATCTTGGGTAGAATAAGTTGTTCATTAGATTTAAGACATTGTAAATCGTTCGTTTCGTTGTATTAGTAGTTTAAGAGAAATTGAAGCCAAATAGCTTTCAATCAATCAGGTTGTGATGTCGATGCTAATCAAGAGACCAGTCCCTTCAAAGAAAACTGGCTCTTCATGTAAAGAAACCAAAGACCGTCCTTGATTAGTAAGCAGGAATGGGTCAACTAGTAAATGTAAGCTCTTGTTAAGTCTAAGACTGCTCGATCATTAAAGGCCTAATTAATCTCGCAGCCGTGGCCGGCAGTATGTTACGTCGCAACACGATACATATGTATTAACGCATACGTATATTACTCAAACATGTATATTCAAATTAAGTTAAGCTGCGCGCGCAGCTAAAGCGTGTCTGTGTGTGTGAGACTGTATGAGGTGCTAGGGCCTTAAGCCTAGCGTGGTGGCAGCACCTTACGGCGCTGCGCCACTCGCGCCAAGCATGGCGGTTTTTGCCGGTGTAACAGGCAGTCGTCGACGACATCGTCCCGCGTGCGGAGCTCCCTCGCGCCTTTTACGTTCTCGGACAACGTTCTCGTGCACCCACGTGCAACATCACTTCTATTACCCACGTAATACAAGGTTCTCGTCCACTCACGTGGTCTGTTCTATCGTTTCAGTGTAATTCGGATGCGTGAAAGTGATTGTAAATTCATCGTATAGCAATCTCCTTTGTGTGCGGAGCGTGTGAGTGCGTGCATGGTAACGACCATTGTTCTCCGCGCGACGTCTCTATCCCGCGTTATCTTCATCGTTGTAATTTCTAGTTTCATTTAATAAAAGGGTTTTTTATGCCGTTACGGCTTTTTTCCTCAAACAGTGTTAAGTGATTTCCCTCTCATTTTAATAATTTAAATCTAACTACCACAATTAAATCAGCAATCAAGAACGAAGGAGAAATTCGAACTAGAGCGATTTACTTCGCCAAGGAAGTCGTTCAGAACTTTTCACATGAGGATATTTTTGACTTTTATTTTTTCGTCAAAAAAATTCCTGTTGGAACCCCTGAACAAGTATGATCGTTTTTTGTACACCGATACCCCAAACTATCATCGACTAGAGGTTTATTCCATAAACTCACTCTGCAATTTGCCGTCGCGTCCTATTAATACCGTGGACAGACAGGAGTGGCCCGATGAAGGGTAAAGCTATTTCAGAGCGTCAGCAAGCTTAATCCCTCATGTTTATATCTCATAAATAGATTTCTACAAAGATTAATATATAGTAGATTGTAATGTGTCGTATAAGACTGTATACATGAACATGAAAAATATAAACTTTCTAAGTATTGTGTAAAGAGGGTCTTCAGTTAATTTGATTTTCACCCCGACTTGATCCAGCCGTCAACACGCAAGGAAATTTGGCAAGCTCACTACTCGGCATGGCTGTTACGACATTAAGCGCAATCTCGCTGCTCTGCTTCTCTCCTTTCTATCTGTTCACTCTCGGGCTTATACTGTAAAAATGAATGCCGAATAAATGTCCTAACAGCCATGCCGAGTAGTGAGCTTGTCGAACGCCATTAGAACTGCCATTCCCAGATGTCGGCATGAGGGTTCCTCGCATCTTTGAGCCACCAATCACATTCATTTGAACGAATGTCCCCGGCCATTGAGTACTGGAGTTATACCATTAGGTCGTATTTTCTCACGGGGAACATAAAGTACTTGGCTCTAGCCTTTTCCGAATATCGAAAGACCGACGTCCCAAATCGAGACAGCCTTAATGAGCAGGTTTAGCGTGCTTGGCGCGTCGCACTAGCCTGGCCAAGCTTTCTCATTACGGCTGTCTCGATTTGGGATGTCGGTCTTTCGATATTCGGAAAAGGCTAGAGCCAAGTACTTGATGTTCCCCGTGAGAAAATACGACCTAAAGGTATAACTCCAGTACTCAATGGCCGGGGACATTCGTTCAAATGAATGTGATTGGTGGCTCAAAGATGCGAGGAACCCTCATGCCGACATCCAGGAATGGCAGTTCTAATGGCGTTCGACAAGCTACTCGGCATGGCTGTTACGATATTAAGCGCAATCTCGCTGCTCTGCTTCTCTCCTTTCTATCTGTTCACTCTCGGGCTTATACTGTAAAAATGAATGCCGAATAAATGTCCTAAAAGCTGCTATTCAAGAATTACAAAAAGTGAATTTAGCCAGAGCTTTAGTTCATACAAACAATCGATGCTGAAATCGGTTATGGAAAACTGGTTTAAGAGAAACATACCATAAATGGCGTAGGAGTGATTCCAACCTACCGTTCTGGGAGTAGGGTAAGAAAAGGCTTTTGAGGGTTTTGAGAGGAGCTTTTGATGTTAGGTAAATTAGGTTTGGAGAGATGAGTGGTAAGGTAACTGGGCATGGATGAACAGATTGTTTTATAGAGATGAAGGATAAGAGAGATGACGTTGAGACTCAAGGGCGAGTCAACCCAGGCGCAGACAGTGAAAAGAGACATGAGATTCTATGTTAGTTAAAGGGATGAAAGAGAGAGAGAGAGAGATCGCTTCATTGCTGTCGTGGAGAGCATAAAAGAATTACGAAATTTATTTTGATATGAAATAATTTATTTATTTCTTATTTTCATTGCAACTTAATATCAAGCAAATAATTTGGTTTCCAAAAAAATAAAGGAACCAAAGATGCTTTCTAATATATATGAAATTTGGTTTATAAACAACTGAACTCCAGTAATCCCAGAGCTATTACCTTTCTAGCCTTTGACGCGGTTATTCATAAAATTTTACTTGATAAATTATATAATTATGGTATAAGAAGAAGTATACCATAATTATATAATATACCAAATATATACCAAATATATACCAAAGAGTCAAAATCAACAATATACTTAGCAACGCTGAGGAAGTTCAGATGGAAGTTCCTCAAGGTACAATCTTAGTACCACTGCTCTTCATAATTTATATAAATGATACAAACCTTGGCAGATAATACAATTCTTTTTTTTGTTGACGAAACGATAGTCATCTTAACTGGTAAAAATTGGAAAGAAACAAATATGAACAATCAATTGGATATAGTGGGAAAATAGCTAGCCCTTAATAAGCTGTCACTCAATATTGATAAAACAGCTTATGTTTGTGACGAGAGCAAGCGTTGCGCTTGTTCTCGTCGAAATTTTCCCAAATTCCCCTCTCTCTCGGCAAGGCACGGTGACCAGCGTTGGGCGCATTTAAGAATGCGCCTAATGCATGGTCTCTATTTCAGCTGACGGAGATTGCCGAGCGGGGCCGAGCAGGCCCGAAGCTGTTACGTTAGCGACAGAAAGTATAGAGGTGTTAGAGAGAGAGAGAGAGAGAGAGAGAGAGAGAGAGAGAGAAATAGTCGGGGACGTGCGTGCCCTACACAAGATTAGGCAGACGCGCGTTTCGAACCAATTAGCGCATTGGTCGCGCGCCCCCTAATAAGTAGGTCAAGTGGGGAGAGAAAAAGAACGAGGAAGAAGCTGTAGGTCGCGACGAAAAACGAGCGACACAGACGGTAGTAAGTCGAGTAGCGAGTAAGAAGGTTTTCCGAGTCGATCGGAGCAAGACGGTAAACGGTCAGCAGTGAAGAAGTCAAAGTGCAGCTGAGGACAAAGGGCCAGCTGAACGCACACACTGCCAAGGGCCGAGAAGAAAACCGAGAGGAGAGGACGACTGCCTGGTTCCGGTATCTACTCGGGACGCTACTGGGACAAGCCGGCAGGAGTTGCCCAGCGACGACCAGCAACATCGTACGCAGGGCGCAGCCAGGCCTCTCGTTCCAGCACCAAAGTTCCAAAGCGTGTGCACGCCTTGCTACCTGCCCTAATTACTGTCGGTCTTATAAATCGCTCAAAGAGAAATCGTCCAGGCGATCTCTCGCCCGGCGACTTTCTCTGTTAGCTAGGTCGCCTAAGTTGGTTTGTCGTCAAGGCGGTCATTTGCCGGGCGACGCGCGTTGTTTTGTATAGATTTGTAAGCGCGATTAGTTAGTTAACTTGTTCTCTTTTGTAATAGGTGTTAAGAACGTCGTCGTGTTTGTTAGATTAAGAGTTTGTGTAATGCGGCTTATTTTTATGCGGTTTGTTAATGTGCGATATCTGCGAAGCCTAAGTGTAATGTAACTTTTATTTGATTTAATTAGATTTGTTAAAATGCGAATTTGTGTTTTTTGTGTATAATTCATTAACCATTTTCATTTCTTTGCCTCTTCCCCCTTCCCGCCTCAATTGCTATGAGCGAGTGCGCCTCACTTGCCCACCTTTAAATAATGGTTAACGAACGAGCTTTCGTTACATGTTGAATTTGGTAACTACTGTAATAGCACACCTAAAAATCTGCAAATAAAAATACAAGGTATGACAATACACAGAGTCAAATACATTAAGTATCTATGAGTTCTTTTTGATAGTAACATGAAATGGGAACTTGCATAATATTTATTGTGACGGAGAATCTCGGCTAGGCCGATCTCGTCCGTTTAGCTCTCGCAAATGTCCGCGCGCCGCGCCAGGCTGAGAGTGTGTACGTTTGGCACCCACACTCATGCTTGGACCTTTTGTTTGCGAGGTGCTGAACACGGGCTGAGCTGACGACTGGAGCGACGCAGATGGCGCAGAAGAAGAGAGAGAGAGAGAGAGAGAGCGCTCGAATTGCGGATCGCCGCGGAAAATTCGGGGAGTCTCTGCTAAGCAATGAGCAGAGAAAGTCGCGCGCGCGGATAAACCG